ACAGACAGACAGACAGACAGACAGACAGACAGACAGACAGATTGACAGACAGAGACAGAGAGAGAAAAGAAAAGGCGTAAGGGTGAAGGAGGACTTAGTACGCAACAGATGAGTGAGGAGCATGAAGGGGGTTAGTGCTAAGGGTGGTGATAAAGGAAAGGTGTGAGAGAGAAGGAAGATGAAAGTGGGTGGGGTGGATTGGAGAGATAGAGAAGAGGAGGTGAAGAACGGGTGTAAGAGTGAAAGAGGAGAAATTAGGGAACTGATGAGATGGGGGAGGTAAGAAGAGAGGGGGGTATGGTGTGTGTGTGTGTGTGTGTGTGTGTGTGTGTGTGTGTGTGTGTGTGTGTGAGAGAGAGAGAGAGAGACAGAAAGGGAGAGAGATAGAGAGAAACTGGGGTGGGGGGGGGAGGTGGTCAATAAGACACCACCTGTCAGTCATAAACCGAAGGGGATATTGAATAACCCTCTCTCTGTCCGGCCACTAATAGTGTCCGCCATGCCATGTGACAGAGGCCTCATCTCCAGCCCGGGAGAGAGACGTACGTCCGGCGGTGAAGCAACGAGCCCGTGATGGGGGCAAAGCCGATCCCAACACACTCATCACAGAGGTCGTTGCTCCGGACTATGGGTTATTGATGATGATTGTGATGATGGTGATGGTGGTGATGATGATGATGATGATGATGATGATGATGATGATGATGATGATGATAATGATAATGATGGTGATGGTGAGTAGGACCAGGAAGGGTAGAAGGATGATGATAACGATAATGATGACAATTCTCCGGGTTTCTAAAGGAGGCCCAAAAGGACAAGCCTCTAGTTTGTCTAATCGCACTTATAAAAACAACGATGATGGTGAGATGGTGAAGAAGTTATCAAGGTGAAAAGGGGAGCCGTTTTAAAAACAACGGTTTCTAAATTACAGCTTTTTATGTTTACATTTACTAACCAACCGATATTTCTTCGAAACTTCCCTTCCTTCTACTTTTTTACAATGGAAAAACGAGGCTTAAGTTTACTTTTGCCTAATATTTGTTTTCCCATACTGTACTCAGTGAGTAAAAAGAAGTTCATTGGCATCATGTCAGAGGTTATTTCATGCCAAGAAAAAGTAGAAAAAAAGAGAAAAAAAACAAGAAATAGAAACTACCAGTGGTGATCCTCAACCCTTGCATCGAGAATGAGCCTCGCTCGATTATATTTCGGAAAAAAAATCTACCACTAGTGCCCGCCATGCCATGTGACAGAGGCCTAATCTCTAGCCCGGGAGAGAGACGTACGTCCGGCGGTGAAGCAACGAGCCCTTGATAGGGGCAAAGCCGATCCCAACACACTCATC